ATCAGAGAGAAAAATATCAACGAAAACATCGTCTTCCTCTCCTCCTCCTCCTCCTCCTCCTCCTTCTTCTTCATCTAGTGAGCATGTTTCAGAAGAAAACATGTCACAATCTCGCGAAATGAAACCGTCTCTTTTGTCCACGCTGTTCCGTTGGCTTATTCACGAAGCGCGGAATAAAAGAGGGTAGGACGTTAGAAAAACTGGCCTACATACGGGACACAAGTCGAGGGTGGACAGCACGACGAGCAAACGTCCACTAGGGCGGACAAAAGCGGGACGTTCGATTTTTTTTGCCCCGAAAGAAAACACGTTTCTCTGGATGACGAACGTCACAACAACGGAAATTGCATCGAACTGGAACGATCGACACGTCCATACGATAGAAGGATAGCTCACCTTCTAGATTCGCCATGGAGAACCTATAGCTGTCGATCCTCGGTGTGTTGATGTCCGAGTTGAAAGGCCTGAGGGTCGCTGAGCTCACATTGTCCAGACCCTGCAACATCAATTTAGACAGGCGTTAGTTATCGCGTTAGACTCTTACACGTTGTTGAAAGGTAACGTGTTACACACTTTTCTTGGTTAAGAAAGATACAGGTATTATTCAATTGATAGATTTACGAGTGAGGGAGGAGAAGCTATTTAAATAGCGTTCGGTAATGAAAAGTAAGGAAGGTTTGTATTCAAATGATAATTATTTTGAATGAGTTTAAATTACATTATTTTCATATCTGTTTGTACGTTTTCATTTTTATTTTGTTACTATTGCAAGCTTTAGATTTCGTTTCACATTTTCATCTATTATACAGAACAGTCCCAATGAAATTCTTAACACTAGGAAGACCAAAAAAATTGGTAACTTTTTCAAAAAAGTTGTATCATTTGTAACTTTCGAACTTCGTCTTCTAATTTTCCTAACCATATTTTAGTTACATAAAAATTCACTTTTGAAAAGTCGGTAATGGGTCATTCTTGACCCAGGCGATCCTAGTGTTAATTCGAACCTTTTTAACGTAGAACTTAATCACTCCTAACAAATAAAAATCTGCGAACACAAAATAACGCAATAAAATCCCAGCGTATCCTTCGAACTACCGTCAAGAACATATTACTTCCACCAAAAAAAAAAAAATCAACGAAACCGACCGCAACGTTCAATCCGAAAGAAACTGCTGTACCATTTCTCCCGCCACTTTTCCCCGAGCTTGCATCGGCACATCGTCGAAATAGATCATTCACCACCCCGAAAACGGTATCAATAGCGGAACACCAGGACGGAGAATCCCCTGGAACGGAAACAGAGACGAGAACGCGAGGTGAATTCGTCAGGGGACGTGATCTCGACGGGTTCTTAGCCGTAACAAGTTCAATCGGTAATCCGCTCGAGATCCTTTTACGGTGGCTCAGCTGGATTTGCGCGAAACCGTGGAGTTGGCTCGCCCAATTTCCTACGACGATTCCTTGCGCGCACCTCGTCGTCGATCATCGGTTTCTTCGCGGCGAAATTTCAACGCGGAGAGCTCTTAGTCTCCTCCTCCTCCTCTCTCCCCCTAGGATCGTCGTTCTCCGAGAGTGAAATGGGAAATGTCGCGCGAGTAAAATGTAGTCGGAGTTACGAAGAGAGAGGGATGAAAACGGGAGAAACTGGAAGGCTTCCAGGCTGTGTTCGATTGTTTTGCAGGCGCGTGCATGCAATGATAACGGCGAACACGACGGGGATGGCAAACGGCGCTGTCTGTGTATCGTAGCCCGAAGGTGGCAAAACTTGCCTCTTAGAGGGATGTTTGCGCAGAGGAAGTTTGTACTTCCGTTGGCGCGGCCGTTGTTCAGCTTCTAGCAGTTTTCCTATGGCATGCGTACTCCCTCGGGGATATGTACAAAGAGCTTCGTAACGTGTTCGTAGTTGAAATAATAATGGACAATATGTGACATGAATGATTCTTGTGTTTTTTCGGGATCAAGCGTTCGTCGGTGGAATCTTTTGAAATTTCAAACGAACCTCTGAATATTTTGTGAGAGACTTTTTGTTCCCGGGGTTGCAGCGTTTGTGAAAACTACTATTCCCGACGGAAAATAATTGTGTTTTAAAGATACGAAGCTTAACTTTGTGTGAAATAGTATTTTGCACCCCTAAGGTGATATCGATATAACCCTTTGCGCATTTTACATATTTATGCTTGTCTCGACTCTACGGCAGTCTAATAAAATTACGAATTACGGTCGAAAAAGTGTGCATTCTCCTACCTTTTTAATAATTACATAACCCTGCATTGTACATACGTAACCTTTACGTCACAGTCCTGACGATAGTACCTGGTCCCTTTAGATAAATCCGCTCGAGATAAATTGTCCAAGGATTAATCGTTCGAGGACGACGAACCATCTATGCGTCGAGCAAATGCTATTAGTGTACCTGGTAAATTCACGTACAATCTCAGATAAAAATCATCGACATAGTCAACAAACTCCCATAATTTAAGTTAGCCAGACACTGTATAAACCATAAATATTGCACACAGAGTTTCTCTTATAAAAGGAGCAACGAAAATTTCATTTCGAGAACGAAACATACAGGAAAACAATTTACATACGCCGAAAATCATGAAAGCCTCTCAAACGGTTGATACTTCACACAAAACCCTCCATCCCGCGTCAAAAACCATTTACACATTTCAGCAACGTTACCCGATCAACCCCTTGACGAAAAAAAAAAAAAAAATCTCATCGAAATCCTCTCCCAACAAATTCCACCTAACGTGCATACCGCGACAGAAGCGAGAGGGCGTTTCGACAAAAATTCCATTCGCTCAGGAAAGAGGTCCAGCGAGCGCTTCTCTCGCGGTGGCGCACAGTCAGCGAACTTCCGCGTTTTGAGCCATTAGCCGTAAATAATGCGAGAACCGAGTTGCCCGCTCGGCCGTGTATGTACATGCCGCGTTCTACGGCGGTTAATCAAGCAACAGCTCCGCACGGTGAGCACACAATGCCTTCGGCCTCGCCACACACACTCACACACACACAGGACAAAACGTTCCATCGGACAGGAGAAAACTGGGCTCGCCGTGTGTACCCCGTGTACACGTTTCGCTACGCCCGATAGATCGCCTCCTCCCCGCCCCTCTGCACCCCCCGCGACCATACTCTCCCTGGTTGTATATACCGGAGGGCAGAGGAGATCCCATGGGACGCCTGTATCGGCGATTCTTCGACGGCTCAGCGGCTGAAAGCGCGGGGTGACTTGCAAACGATAGGGTGAAGTCGCGCCGTGGCATTGCTTAGAATGCCCGACGACGCTTCGCCAAGTAACAGTAATAAGTGCAAAGAGATTTTTTTTCTATTTTTTTAAGGTGTTCAGAGACTCTGGATTTATCGATGTCGTTACTTTTCTTCGTTTGTGCCAGCGTCATGGATCATTGAGCCGCAGACTTCAGGTTGTAATTAATTAACAGACCAGCCGGAAGCCGAGGCGCCATCAATACTGTATTGAAACCGTGGGCTAATTGTAAGCTCGGAGAAATTTTAAGAGAAAGTCTGTGTGAGAAGCTTCCTGTAGAGGTTCGTTTCACCCTTTTGTTGCGGGAGATTTTAGTATGAAATGCATATGTGTAATGGAGGTTACAATATTTTTTGTTTTGGCTCTGTTGCTTTGAAATTTGTTTTATGAGATTGAGAAGAAGGTACACGAAGGGTGAAATTAGGGATTAAATTAAGATGGAAGTGTGCCAAAGGAAGAATGTAGAGGGGAGTAGCTGACTGAAATAGTATTTCTGCTTGATGGCTAAGTCCCATCGCTTTACCGTTTCGAAATTTGTTTTCTTAAATTAAGGCGAAATCACGCAAAGTGTAAACAATTAAAAATTAAATTAAGATAGAATTGGGCTAAACAGACTTTGTTCTCTTTGTTCTTTTGCAAAAATGTAGGTTCCATCGCTCGTACCGTATCAAAATTAACTTCACCGAATTAACATAAAATTGCACAAAGGGTAAAAAATTAAGACAGAATTGTGCTAAACAGACTTTTTCTCTGTTTTCTTTCGGAAAAATGGTTCTGCTTGATGGCTAAATGGCGGTTCCATCGCTCGTACCGTTTCAAAATTTGCTTCATTGAATCGAGATAAAATTGCACAAATGGTAAAATTAAGGATGAAAATTAAGACGGATTCGAAGTGCCTACAGACGTCAATAGCAACGAAAGGGTTAAACACCGAGAACCGAATCAAACCGTCAGCTGCACAAAGTGGAAGGATAAAATTTGCACGGAATAGAACGGGCGAAAATTGCTATTAAAAGAAAACTGTTCATTTTCGAGTTCACCGATGTGCATCAGGCCCGATAAATCGCCAGGGCTCACAGGCGTGTATACACACACGAGAACGCAGGGAGACGCACATTACACGCCCGGTGGTATCGACGGCTTCTCCCGGCGAGTTCGCCAGACCTCGGTGTGGGTGTGAATGTGGTGAACGACCCGGTAACCACCACTCGGCCAACAGGCACAACAATTAGATTCGACCGGATAAGCCGACTCTTCCTGTAACGCGAACCTCGTGGACGGTTACGTTGGTCGTATCTCGCGCGAGCATTGTCACGGATATTTAGCCGTGTTATTGACGTGCACGCGGCCAGATATCAAGCCGCGATAACGGGGAACGAATTTCTCGAGGAACTCGACGCTAAGGATACCAAACGCTGAGAAGTTAATCGATCCGCGGAGCGATCCCTCGAAAACCAAGCGTGGGAGTGTAGCAACGAGAGGAGAGAGAGAAAGCAACGGGAATCGCTCGATTGGAATCTTATCCGACCGTTACCGCGCTCAAAACTGCCGCGGAATCGAGTTTCTGGATGATTCCGGGGAAATGAAATTGCCGTGATAACGTTAGCAGTGAAACGCCCGCTCGATTAATTTATGCCACCTCTGATCTATCGTTTAGACGATTTTTGATAAAGACAATGGTGTTTCGCTTATAATTTCGAGTTATTCCAAGAAGTCTCGGTGTATTAAAAGTGATGAAATGTGGCCCAAAAATTGTACGTCGGTTTTTATACTAAATTGATAGTGACTGTTACGAGTTGATTGCAATATATTTTACGTGTATTTTATTGTTTCTCGTTCAATAAATACTTCTCGTATAATACAGTTGAAATCCCAGAACACATTGTAGGTTCGCATCTAAACTGTCAAGGGTCTCAATGTCTCAAACGTCTCAATATCTCACGAGTATAATACTCTGCAAAAATTGTTCCAGTTCAACCAGGTCACGCAAACTTCAATCTTTCAAAAATCTTCATTAATTCGACTAATTAAAGAGAACTGGCTTTCCCAACCAATTTTCAATCTACATCTCACAAACACCTACTCAAGTGCAAGTAGTTCAGTTGCTGCTACTATGTTAACGAATAAAAAACACGAGTAACATCGTGCATTCACCAAGCACACGAGCTTCGTCGAATCCTCATAACTCTACGTCGAAACAATAAATCCAATTACCCAAAACT